AAGTTCATTCTCATTGTAGTGGCGTGGCCCAACACAGTGCTGGTTCTCCAGTCTTCTCGTGTTGTCAGTTCAGCCTCTCGTACTGCTTCCTCTCCATCCCAGCCTACTCACTTAGAATCACGGCTGCACCTCGTGTCCCACACTCAGTCCCCTGCACCTCACAGTGTGGCTGCTTCATGGCTAAATGAAGAGGAAGAGCGGTGTTCTGCCACTGTTCAACAGGTCCTATTCAACAGTACAAAGTCCTCTATTAGAATGGTCTATTCAGCAAAATGAAAGTGATTTTGGTGTGGTCATTGGCCCATGGAATTCAGCCGACACTGGCTTGTATCCTGGACAACTTGGAATACTTGCTGCATCTTATTTGCTCTTAGGTCATTGAGAGTACAGTTGGCAGTGCTACCAGCATTTCATCCCCCTAGTTAAGGAAGATCTGTCTTCTCCAGTACCATGATAGCAAGATTTTTTAAAGGGCTTCTTCATCTCTATCCTCTGGTTCAAGACCTGGTTCCTTTCCTGGGGGAAATTAACATGGTCCTAGCAGCTTTAATGGGACCTCCATTGGACCACTGGTGGTGCAGTCATGAAAAAGGCAAATGTAATCCTAGGATGTATCAGGCAAGTTATTTCCAGTATTACAGTATTTCCAGAGAGAGACAAGTATTAGTGACACTGTGCAAGGCACTGGTAAAACCTCATCTGCAACAGTGTATGATTCTGGTCACCCATGTTCAAGAAAGATTAATTTAAAAAGGAACAGGTGCAGAGGAGGCCTATTAGGATGATCAGGGAATGGAGACCTTGTCTTATGAGAAGAGAGTAAAAGAAATTGGCTTGTTTTTAGCTTAGCAAAACAGGTTGAGAGGTGATCTGATAGTTGTCTATAAATACCTTGTAGGATAGACATCAGGGAGAGAGAAGAGCTATTTAAGCTAAAGGATAAAGTTTGTACAAGAACAAATGGGCATAAAATGGCCATGAATAAATTTAGAGTGGAAATTAAAAGGTTTCTAATCATCAGTGGAGTGAGGTTCTGGAACAGCCTTCCAGTAGAAGGAGTGGGGGTAAACTTATCTACCAGTAGTTCTAAGATGGAGCTTGATACATTTATGAATGGGTTTATATGATGATGATGATGCCAGCAGGGGATTGGACTGAACCCATAAGATCCATTCCAGTTGTAAGTCCTATGTTCCTGTTTTCTTGGGATGAGTCTTCTGAAGACCCTTGGGCCCCTCAGGAAGGGACAACTTCCTTTTTGTCAGTTCAAGGACTTTATGCACAGCTCTAGGAAAACCCCTTTTAAAATCTCCTCTTTGTTCTGTTCTGAAACCACTTCTTTAGTTTCCTATTCTTGGCTAGAGGCACAGATATTATTTTGGTTTTCCTACTGTTCCATTTGATCCAAACCTTGTCTCTGCAGGCTACCATCATTTTTGTCTTGCAATGAAACAAGACTTTCTGAAGCAGAGTTAGGATTTTTTCTTCAGAAAGCCTGACAATTTAATTGTCTCTTGTTATAAAATGCATTTTAACATTGTAACCAAGAATAGTGTTGAATTCATTCTCTTTGCATTTGAAATGTAACTAGATAGCTAAACCGGATTTCCCTGTCGTGTTAAGGACCGTGTTTTTCTTGTTTTTTAAGAGCTATCAAGACCTATTATAGCTAACTGCTCACATCTGTGGTTTCTGGCACAGTGGACAAGTACAGATCTCAAATTTTGTGTGATCTTGCGTTTGAAAAATTATGAAGTATTAATCACACAATTGAGCAATTTAAATTTAGTGGTAATTTTGTCTCCTCAAATCAACACAGATTGCATTCCAGGGATGGTAAGAAGTAGGTTTAAAAGTTTTATTTAGCTTATGCTAAGGACTTCAGAAAGTCTAAAGATATTCATCAGTTTTCATAAGGGAGAAACATCTAAAAACCATCCTTTGACTGATGGCTTAAAGACGACAATCTATTATCCTACAGACAGCTTGAGCAGTTTTTTCTTGTTTGAATGGCATTCTGCTAGGGAGATACCCACTCCCTTAAACTAATTGAAATACATGAGTAAAAAAAAAATTACAATTTTTCAGCTTAATTTTATAGAAATAATTTTTGAACAAATAACTTTGTGTTTTACATTTTCTGTCAAGTATAGTGGGGAGTGGAATATAGAAATCTCAATTATTGTTTCCCAGCCTTGAGGGGCCAGTCCTGACTAGCTGAGGGGATGGGGGAAAGTGAACAACAGTGTGGGTAGAGAAACTTGCAGGACCCCAAATCTTATCTTTACAAATACAAATGTATTACAGCAGATGGAGGTGAAGTAGGGTCCCTTAATGAACCATGCTGCAGGAGAAGGTCAAATGCACATGACTGCAGGCTTGAATAGTAACTTCCAAGCCAAAACTTCTCTGTTCTGTTCATTCAGTGCATTCAGTTCAGCTGCAAGAGTTGGTTTTGGTTTTATGGGAGCCATCAATTATGCAAGTAGCATGTAGTCCTGCTTAATGGGAAATGGAGAAGGGGTGCCACAAAACAAGAGAACATAAAATAACAAAAAACTAGAAAATAAATGCAGACGAAGAGAAAACCGAAGGAGAAAGGCAGAAAAGAAAATGAACAGAAAATATGACAACTGTGCCAAGGCAGGAGCATGGGAACAGTGTGTGTGTGTGTGTGTGTGTGTGTGTGTGTGTGATATCCCATCTCAAAGTAATTTCGCCTCAAAAGATTGGAGAACCAACAACAATTGATAGATACAGAAGATGTCTCAGTTGGTCACTAATCCTGTACCTGAGGTAGCACCAGTATTGAGCTATGAACTGAAGTCTTCTCAACCTACTCCACAAAACAGCTGTAGGATTTCCACTGTGTTGTGGATGCCATAGCCGAATTTTAGTATTTTGATATGAGATGATTTAACATATCTAGGAGGAGTGGATTGTAGTAACTTTTAAAGTATCTAGTTAATGCCAAGTGTGATGTTTTGAAATAGTAGATGCATTTTGAACTTGATATTGATAAGCACTGTCTTGAGACGGGTTTATTTGGCTATATTTCCAAATTCTAACACTTTGGAATTAAGGCTTGTGTATGGAGTGGAGACTATTCTTAGAACTATAGATGAGTCTGGTATCTCTGTATATTTCAGAACCTCAATAGATTGAACTGCCTTTTGTTTATATGTTTAATACATCTATTTTATGAAAAATAATCATTCTTTTAAATTTTCTCTTCCACAGTTCCACATTACATTATAATAATTTGTTTTCTTATCTGGACTTTTTTCCAGTTTTTGTTATGTCCTTTGTGAGATCAGGTCACTAACACTAAATCCAGTATTCAAAATGAGGATTTACCCTGGTTTTAAATAGCATATTTTCCATATTGTTTGCTATCCCCTTCTTACTACGTCATAACGCCTTATTTGATTTTGACCTTTGCTGTATATTAAGAGGATGTCTTACTGAGCTGTCCATCTAATTACCTAGATCTTTTCATTAAAATGTGGGGTGATATTTTAAAAAGATGTCCAACTTCCAGTGACTTTCAGTGTCTAATTCCCTTAAGCACTGCCCACCAGTGAGAGCCAATTAAATTTAAATGGGTCCTTTTAGTATGGATTATTTTAATTTGTTTAGATTAAATTTGATCTATTTTCATATTGCCCAATTTTCTAATTTTGTTCTTTTGGAGTTCCTCATAAGCCTTCCTGCTTCTGTGTTCACTTTTGTTTTCTCCCTCTGCTGAGAAAAACAAGATCTTGCTCATCTTTCTATCAAGATTTTGGTCTCATTGCCTTTTCGATAGTGGTGGAACATACTCCTCTATGTCACTACAGTTAGGCTAGCAGGCCTGCCGCCTTGTTCAGAATTGCTTTGGGCTCCTACACAATTTGTACCTGTCCTTGGTTTTCTATGCAGTGCTGCTCCCCCATCTGGCTCGTAACTCAAGAGAGATTGGGAATGGATGGCATCTGGCTGGTCCTTTCAGGAGTACAGGCCGCATGGAGGGCGGAGTTTGGATGTGTGTTTGCAGTAGAGCATAAAGGAGAGGCAAGGAAGGTTGTGGTTTTCTCTCCTAGGTTCCTGTTCACAGAGTAGTCAGCAACTGGCATCAGACTGGGTTGATAATACAGTGTGAGAGCAAGCTCAAGGTGAATGTTTCCAGCAGAAATGACAGGGCTAGTTGCTCTAACTGTCAGTGGCTAAAACCAATTTTTCCTGCCATAATACTCCCAAGTGGGCCCTAGACAGATGAAGAACTGACCTGTCCTTAAAGTGCTTAATACCTTGAGATTAGGTGATGTCCAGAGAATTAAGTCTCTTGTTCCAATAAATTATCTCTTCCCTTTCTATTTGTTTCCTTCTGCTGTTACCGAGACTCCTCAAATAATGCTGGCATTAGAAAGGCATGATTTTCATTTCCAAATGTTGTTGTTGCAAGTTTTTATTAGTTTAATAGCTTGATAATGTCATGATGGTTGAGCTCCATCCAGAATTCACCTGCAAACTGAAAAATCTTAACAAATCACAAAAATTATACGTTATCTGAAAAGGGTGCATTTTATTATATATTCAGACAATAATGGATATATTGCACATTAGTTGTTTTATGGTGTAGTATACACTTACAACTTAAACAGTAAAACAGTATGGTTAATTAGAAAAAATTGAATTGTGAATACTTTTTATGTGCAATGTGACTAAATTAATGTTGGTGTTGAAAACTTAATTTTTGCATTTTCTTACATTTTATGATTTTTAATTGCAATTTTAAAGTTGTAGTAAAATCTACTTCTGCTTTATATTTATTTCCAGTTAGACTTTGAAGCTTGCACTTCACTGAAGTGAATGAGATGAGTTACCATGTTAACTTCTGCTGTTTGGTTAGAAACAGTTCTCTGCAAGATTGAGTCAACAGTGCAGCTGCACTTCTGTTTAAGTTGGGATGTATCTTTGTAATGACAATGTGATAGTGAAACTTTTTTTCAAATTTGCAGAACAGTGGAGAATACAAAAATATTGTGGAGATCCTAAAATTGTTAGATCTCCAATTTTTTACACTGTTTTCTTCTGAAAAAGCCGACGGGTGCGGAGGAGCACACGGTTCGGACAGAGACATCCCTTAGGGGAGGATCTATTAATGAGGATTCTCTATATCCTAGTAAGGAGGAGAGGATGGAAGATGATAAAGTACAGGTAGGATCTGATGAGAAACAGTCAAATGAGAGTCCCATTCAATTACATCACATAGTGGCAGACAGCTAAAAAGTGACAAATTTTTATAAGTGCTTATACACAAATGCTAGAAATCTAAATACTAAGATGGGTAAACTTGAGTGCCTGGTATTAAATGAGGATATTAATAGGCATCACAGAAACTTGGTGGAATGATGATGATCAGTGGGACACAGTAATGCCAGTGTACCAAATATATAGGAATGACAGAATAGGTTGGGCTGGTGGGGGAGTGGCATTATATGTGAAAGAAAGCATAGAGTAAAATATAGTAAAAATTTTAAATGAACCAAACTGTACCATAGAATCCCTGCTTGAAATTCCATGTTGGAATAATAAGAATATAGCAGTAGGGATATACTACCGACTACCTGACCAGGATGATGATGGTGACTGTGAAATGCTCAGGGAGATTAGAAAGGCTATAAAAATAGATAACTCAATAATAATGGGGGATTTTAGCTATCCCCATCGTGACTGGGTACATGTCACCTGAAGACGGGATGCAGAGAGTTTCTTGACACCATAAATGAGTACTACTTGGAGCAGCTAGTCCTGGAACCCACAAGAGGAGAGGCAGTTCTTGATTTAGTCCTAAGTGGAGCACAGGATCTGGTCCAAAAGGTGACTATAGTTGAACTGCTTGGTAATAGCAACCATAATATAATTAATTTGGGGGGGGGGGAAGGGGACACACCAAAGAAGCCCACCACTGTAGCATTCAACTTAAAAAAGGGGAACTGCACAAAAATGGGACCATTAGTTAAATGGAAATTAAAAGTCCCAAAAGTGAAATGCCTGCAAGCTGCATGGAAACTTTTTTAAAACACCGTAATAGAGGCTCAAATTAAATGAATGCCCCGAATTAAAAAACAGTAAGAGGACCAAAAATGTGCCACCATGGCTAAACAAAGTAAAAGAAGCAGTTAGAGGCAAAAAGGCACTCTTTAAAAATTGGAAGTTAAATCCTACTGAGGAAAATAGAAAGGAGCATAAAGTTTGGCAAGTCAAGTGTAAATGTATAATTAGGCAGGCCAAAAAAGAATATGAAGAGCAACTAGCCAAAGGCTCAAACTAACAGCAACTACATTTTGAAGTGCATCAGAAGCAGGAAGCCTGGTAAACAATCAGTGGGGCCACTGGACAAGGTGGTAAAGGAGCACTCAAGAAAAATACCACCATTGTGGAGAAACTAAATGAATTCTTTGCATCAGTCTTCACGGCAGAGGATGTGAGGGAGATTCACACACCTGAGCCATTCTTTTTTGGTGACAAATTTGAGAAACTGTCCCAGATTGAGGAGTCATTAAAGGAGGTTTTAGAACAAATTGATCAACAGTAATAAGTTGCCAGGATCAGATGGGATTCACCCAAGAGTTCTGAAGGAACTCAAATGGGAAATTGCAGAACTACTAACTGTGGTATGTAACCTATCATTTAAATCAGCTTCTGTACCAGATGACTGGATGATAGCTAATGTGATGCCAATTTTTAAAAGAAGGCTCCAGAGGCAATCCTGGCAATTACAGGCCAGTAAGCCTGACTTCAGTAACAGACAGATTGGTTGAAACTGTAGTAAAGAACAGAATTATCAGACACATAGATGAAAATGATTTGTTGGGGAAGAGTCAGCATGGCTTTTGTAAAGGGAAATCATGCTTCACCAATCAATGAGAATTCTTTGAGAGGATCAACCAATATGTGCACCAAGGTAATCCAGTGTACACGGACTTTTGGAAAGCCTTTTGCAAGGTCCCTCACCAAAGGCTCTTAAGCAAAGTCATGGCATAAGAGGGAAAGTTTTCTCATGGATCAGTAACTGGTTAAAAGATAGTAAACAAAGGGCAGGAATAAATGATCTGTTTTCAGAATGGACGGACGTAAACAATGGTGTCCCCAGGGGTCTGTGCTGCGACCAGTGCTGTTCAACATACCCATAAATGATCTGGAAAAAGGGGTAAATAGTGAGGTGGCAAAATTTGCTGACAATACTAAATTACTCAAGATAGTTAAGTCCAAAGCAGACTGCGAAGACTTACAAAGGGATCTCACTAAACTGGGTGACTGGCAACAAAATGGCAAATGAAATTCAATGTTGATAAATGCAAAGTAATGCACATTGGAAACCATAATCCCAACTATACATACAAAATGATGGGGTCTAAATTAGCTGGTACCACTCAAGAAAGAGACCTTGGAGTCATTATGGATAGTTCTCTGAAAATATCTGCTCAATGTGCAGCGGCAGTCAGCAAAGCTAACAATGTTAGGAACCATCAGGAAAGGAATAGATAATAAGACAGAAAATATAATGCTTTATATAAATTCAGTGTACGCCCACATCTTGACTGTTGCCTGCAGATCTGGTTGCCCCATCTTGGAAAAGATTTTTTAGAATTGAAAAAGGTACAGAGAAGGGCAACTAAAATGATTTGGGGTATGAAACAGCTTCTGTATGAGGAGAGATTAGAAAGACCTGGGCTGCTCATCTTGGAAAAGAGACGACTAAGAGGGGATATGATAGAGGTCTATAAAATCTTGACTGGTGTGGAGAAAGTAAATAAGGAAATGTTACTCCTTCACATAACACAAGAACTAGGGGTCACTCAATTAAATTAATAGGCAGCAGATTTAAAATAAACAAAAGGTAGTACATTTTCATACAACGCACAGCTAACCTGTGGAACTAGTTGTCAGGGGATGTTGTGAAGGCCAAAACTATAACAGGGTTCAAAAATGAACTAGAAAAGTTCTTGGAGGATAGGTCTATCAATGGTTATTAGCCAGTATGGTCAGGGATGCAATACCACGTTCTGAATGTCCCTAGCCTATGATTTCCAGAAGCTGGGAGTGTATGATAGGGGACAGATCACTTGGTGACTGCCTGTTCTATTCATTCCCTCTGAAGCACCTGGCTTTGGCCACTGTCAGAAGACAGGATACTGGACTAGATGGACTATTGGTCTGACCCAGTATGGCCTATGTTGTCCCTGATATTAAGCAAGTGCTTTTTATTTTAATTAAGAAAGAGTTTTCTGTATTTTTTTTTACTTATTTTCCTCATATATATTGCTCTATCAGCAGCTCCTCTATCTGTTAAGATAGTGAGAGAGAATGTGCAATGATATCATGGGGTCACAGGGGCAAGGTTTTATTAGCACATGCCCTGTGGATATCCATTGGATTTTTTGCAATCACTTATAACTTACTTTTCCCCTCCAAAACATTTTATTTACTCCTCAATGGGGACAACAGTATATCCATGCAAAGTTTCATGTTTTAAACTTTAGCTGTTGTTGCTGTAACCAATTTATTTTTTAAAAAGTGGTTAGATATTTTACCAAATTGGAAAAATGTGTCTTTTACTCTCTCATAACTCAAAAACAACTAAAAGGATTTTTCTTAGTCTGTCAAAAAAAAATCACCTCTGGGCAGAAACCAAGCACACGAGAATGTCAGCTTCAAGGGTAAAGGTCTCAGAAAGTTATCTGCATGTTACGAGAGGTTATAATACATTCCAGTCTTGGGTCATTTCTCATGTTTGACCTACTATCTTTCATTAACATTGATTTTTATTTTTGTATTCGCTTTTAAAAATCTCCCTGGAAGAATATATTCAGGATAAAGTGCTTCAATAATTTCTTTAAATTGTTCATTTTATACTCCGTGGAGGGGTTAATGTGTGCATAAAAGAAGGTTGCATCTTCCTTATCAAGTTCATCTTTCAATTTTCAGTTATTTTTATAGCTTATCTGCTGATCTTTTTATAAATCTATTTTTATTTATTTTAATATACAGAACAGTCTTGTACAATGCCAATAACAAGAGTCAGAAGATCAAAAATACAATTAGAAAAGATGGTATACGCCTCTTATGAGTAATTACACACTGTATCTTTTTTTTTAACTTAAGCTTAAAATCAAATATTCTGGAACAAGTATTTTCAATATAAAGTGCTTTAATTTAAAGTTCTAAACTGTATGGGCATATCCCTTTTCTTCTGAGATACTGAATAATATACATTACTGTATACAGTACATTACTCTGACAGGTTTTCTCCAGTTGGGCTGTTGGCTGAATTGTCCCAAAAATATAAAACTTTTCTTCATGGAGGACTTCTGGGAACTATTCATGGATTAGACCTCCTCGTTTCACCACAGTGAAGGCAGTTTAGGCTTGTTTTATTCCTTTCATCCTTTGAGTTCAGACTCTCTCTGCTGGACTATTTAAGCATGGCATTCCAATCTTGATTTATTCAGTCTCCCTCTGAGCAGCTTTAGGCTCACTGCTGTTAAGAAACAGCATTTGAATGTAGGAATTTTATCTCTCAGACTGCTGAACTTCAGATTATGTGTATTTTTCAGTAATCATAACCTGTTGACTTTCCTTTTAAAGCAGACTGAGGATCCATGTGTTTAATCTTCATTCTTTCTGGTTCCCTTTCCTCAGAATGTGTGTCACAGTGGCCTAACTCTGCCTGCCATTATAGCACACAGTATACTGTTCCAAAAACTTCTGTGGGAAAATATATATATTTACAATACTATTCAGCTCCTTAAAAATAGTTTGAGTTCTTGATTAAAGTGGCTGGATGCAAATTAAAATGTCCTACATCATCTCTGCAAAGTTACCTTGGTCCAAAGTTCACCAATAAAAAGAGAAATTAAGATCTTCACACAAATCCCATGTGTATTATGGTGTCCTTTTCAATGGAACTAAGTTATTCGGACAGTCCCTTAGAATGCTATCTTGGGGTTCAATCCAATCTGAACAACCTGCTTTCTCAGTATTGCTTTTTAATCAGGGATGAAAAAACATTGTAACAAAAATATAGATGAGCTCCTTATGGAACATGCAGTCATTCCCACCATCTTGTTTTACTGAAGCAAACTGATAAACTAAACACTAATAAGTCACGAGAACCAAATGGTATTCATCCAAGAGTTCTGAAGGAACTCAGGTATGAAATTGCAGAACTACTAACTAGTATGTAACCTATCACTGAAATAAGCCTCTGTATCAGGTGATGGTAAGGTAGTTAATATAACACCAATTTTTTAAAGGGGCGATCCTGGCAATTACAGGCTGGTGAGTCTAACTTCAATACTGGATAAATTCGTAGAAATGTAGTAAAGAACAAAATTATCAAATATAAATAAACATGATTTGTTGTGGAAGTGTCAGTCTGGGTTTTGTAAAGGGGAAGCGTGCATTAGCAATCTATTAGACTATTTTGAGGGGGGCAACAAACATGTGGACAAGGGTGATCCAGTGTACTTGGACTTTCAGAAAGCTTTTGACAAGATCCCTCACCAAAGGCTCTTAAGAAAACTATGTAGTCATGAGATAAGAGGGAAGATCCTCTTTCATGGATCAGTAACTGGTTAAAAGATGATAAACAAAGGGTAAGGATAAATGGTCAGTTTTCACAGTGGAGAGAGGTAAATAGTGGGGTTCCCCCAGGGTCTGTACTGGGACCTGTCCTGTTCAACATATTCATTGATCTGGAAAAGAGAGTGGACAATGAAGTGACAAAATTTACAGATGGTGCAAAATTACTAAAGTTAGTTAAGGCCGGATCAAAGCTGCCTGCAAAGCATTACAAAGGGGTCTTACTAAACTGGGTGACTGGGCAACAAAATGGCAGATGAAATTCCATGTTGATAAATGCAAAGTAATGCATGTTGGAAAAATTAATCCCAACTTCATATATAAAATGATAGATTCTAAATGAGCTGTTACCACTCAAGAAAGAGATCTTGAGTCAGTCATCATGGCTAGTTCTCTGAAAACTTCAGCTCAATGCACTGCAGCGGTCAAAACAGAATATTAGGAACTATTAGAAAAAGGATAGAAAATACCATAATGCTGCTATATAAACCCATAGCGTGCCCTTGAATACTGTGTCCAGTTCTGGTTACTCCATCTCAAAAAGGTTATAGTGGAACTGGAAAAGGTTCAGAGAAGGGGAACAAAGATGGTCAAGGGTATGGAATGGCTTCTATATGAGGAGAGACTAAAGATTAGGGCTATTTGTCTGAGAAAAGAGATGATTAAGGTGAAATATGATAGAAGTCTATAAAATCATGAATGGTGTGGAAAAAGCGAACAGAGAAGAATTATTTACCCTTTCCCACGGTACAAAACCAGGGATCAGCCAATTAAATTAATAGACAGCAGGCTTAATATAAACAAGTGGAAGTACTGTTTCACACAATGCACAGTTAACCTGTGGAACTCATTGCCATGGAAAGTTGTGATGGGCAAAACTATAACTGGGTTCAAAAAAGAACTAGATAAGTTCATGGAGGATAGGTCCATCAATGGCTATTAGCTAAAATGGTCAGGGATGCAATCCCATTTTTGGGTGTCCCTAAACATCTGACTGCCAGATGCCAGGAGGAGAAAATAGGGGTGGATCGCTCCAAAATTATCCTGTTCTGTACATTCCCCCTGAAGCTTTGGTACTGGCCACTGATGAAGAAAGGCTACTACATAAGAACGGTCCTACTGGGTCAGACCAATGGTCCATCTAGCCCAGTATCCTGTCTTCTGACAGTGGCCAATGCCAGGTGCCCCAGAGGGAATGTACAGAACAGGTAATCATCAAGTGATCCATCTCCTATCGTCCATTCCCAGCTTCTGGCAAACAGTGCCTAGGGACACTTCAGAGCATGGTTTTGCATCCCTGCTCATCCTGGCTTATACTGCCATTGGTCTGACCCAGTATGGCAGTTCTTAAGTTTTTATGTCACAGTAGTGTTCTTTTTCTAATCTAGATAGAGTTAATATAGTGAAATGTGTGAAATTAGTCCACCTTCAGTTGCTTTGTTTAGGACTGTTAAAATCAGCTTGCTTCTTTGAATAGCTGCTTTAGCATCAGAGTTATAGGGCAAGTTCCTATAATTCTTACTTATGAAACAGTTCCTTTGTCTTCAGGGGGATTTTTCACATGGGGTAAGCATTGCAAATTTGCTACAGTTATGGGCCCAATCTCAGTTTTATGATAAATGTTGTTCCTAAAATGAAGAAAATTCATTCATATGAAGTGTAGTGTTTTCTAAGGGTGGAAGCACTTCCACATTTATTGTACAGTCCCACTTACTACTCAGCTTTCTAAGAGCCTTACTCATCTTTAATTTATGCCCTGACTACTCTACATACACAACAAAATTAGGGCTCCTGGTGGTAATACTGTTGTTCTGTAATTCAGTGGAAAACATTATAGTTTGTAATGTAAACTGGACCTTAACTCTCCTTGATGATGTGGTGAAAGCTGTGGTCTGACCAAGGCTTTAGCCTGGTTATGAAACATAGTTAAAGACCCATTGTACACTGCAAATCAAAACTGTAACCAAACTAGGACACTTTGTAGTTGCCAGTGCCCTGATATGGCTGTATTCCTAATGTAGAGAAGACCTTAGTTATGAGTGGTTTAAATTTATTGTCATTTTTATTTGTATATAAACTACTTCTGGTATTGAGGCCAAGACCAATTTATGATTTGGATACACTATTTAAACTGTGGGAGAAAATCATAGTAACTTTTTGGTTGAATGTTTAAAGATTTATTGTTTAATAAATTTAGTTGAAGAAGAGAGACTTGGTAGTAAAAAAAAAAAATCTTTATTGTTGAAAATGGGCAAATGAGCAGTTTTGTACTACATGCTTTTAATTTAGGAAATTCATATTTAATCTAAATCATACCTTTCCCATACAGGGAAGATGGTGAGCTAGAAGATGGTGAAATAGATGATGCAGGATTTGAAGAAGTTCAGGAAGAACAGGATGCAAAAGGGGAAGATAAACAGAAAAATGAAAAAGCACATAGAAAATCACGAAAGAAACGCAAAAAAGAAAAGGAAAAGAAAAAATCAAAAAGGAGAAGACGGGATAAACATAAGGTTAGAAAATGTAAACCAAAATATTGGATATGATTACTGTAGCTACACAGTTTACTTTTTCTTATCCAGGAAATTGAACAACATATCTGAAAGTTGTTTTACCCCTAAGCACCTAGTACTTCTTTGGACACTATATGAATGATAGAAAAAATTGGGCCACTGTATAAAAGGCCCCTCAAAAAATGTTTATCATGGAATTTTGATTTAAAATATTGGGTTGTATTCGCTCTTAACATAAACAAGTGCAACTCCGCTGACTTCAGTGACAGTGAATTTGTCCAGGACAAGAGATGGTAAATCAACAATTTCTCTGGCTACTGCACTGCAAAAATCACAGTTTCAGAAACTCAGCAGCTAGCTTTTTATAAACTCCAAATTATTAATAAAAGTATTTCATGTAGTTCACTTTCATATATTACTACTCTATTAGTCCCTGTTCAGGTTTAGGTGAGTTATAAATTGTTTAAAATCTCCATTTTTCTTCTGTTGCTTGTGTAGAGTAGGAAACTTTTGGCAGCATTCCAAAATAACGGAAAACAAATATTCTAAAAAGTAGGCCACCGGCAACCGGAGCAGCCACATGCACTGGCCTGGGAGCTGTCAGAGCAGCTGTTGCAGAAGATTGTGGTGGAACTGGGCTGGGCTCTGCTCCTCTCACACATCCTGGACCTAGCACGTGGGGACCCAGTGTCCCATCTCTCCTCTGGAGGCACCACGTGGGGCAGAAGCTCTCCCATATCTGGGCATATAGACTCATTGTGAGCAGAGTTAATTGACTTGATGCTTAAATGCTGGTTGCTACCTGGAGCCTTAGGGGTGAAATCCTGCGTGACTTCAGTGGGACAAGGATTTCACACTAGAGCTCCCATGCTTGCTGTCACCAGTGCCGCTGAACCAGTGGTGGCAAAGGTGGGAAATCTTTAGTGAAAACGTCTGGTGCAGGCATCCTTGAGGATGCATATTACATCCACATAGAACTCTGAAATTTAGCACTGAATAACACAGAAACAAGTGGAGGCAGTGTAATTATGCCTATCCGCTCAGGACTTATTAATATTTTCCTAAGTTAGAGATGGGAACCTTTGAGATTGTGTAATGTTTTATTATCCATGTAAATTACAAAGATTTCATAGGAGTTCTATTTTATTTAATAAGTGATAAAGTATTGACAGTCCTTTGCACTTAATCTGATGTAGTCATCAGAATATTTCTAAATATTTTACAAAGGTTGGAAAGTATACCCATTTAATAGAGAGAGGGAGAAGGGGGTTAAATGACTTGCTCAAGGTCATTCAGAGACAGTAGCAGAGCTGAAACAGAGCCTAGATTTCCTGACTCCAAGTCTCCTGCTCTTAACTATAAGATAGCATTTCCCAGTCTCACTTTATTTTATTCCTTACCTTTTTGCTTCATCTAGCAGAAGAATTTTAGGACTGTGAAGAATAAAGTAAATTTGGTTTTAATTATAAGGTTATACAAGAGCTGAAAGATACAAATTCTATTTATGTGTTTAAAAAAAAGTAATTAAAAAACAGGACTAAAACTACAAGCAGGCCTTCCCCATACCACTCCCTACACCCAGCACAGGGCACAAGAAGCGCATCACCCCTCTGCGATAAATAGCCTTCTCCTGCTGCAAATGTGTATAATAGAACTTGTTTTTTTCCCCTTTAAACAACAACTAGGAAACCACATACTTTTTGTATGTTAAAAGAAAGTTGTGTAGTTTGAAAAGTCAAGCACTTGAAAGTTAGAAAATGCCAGACTTACAGTTGCCTGTGTAAACTTAGTTCTGCCTCCGTATACATTATGCAATATTATTCAGTCTTTAATTACACAATCACATGCTATTTTTTCCATAGGACCCCACTGCAGTTCACAGGTGGGATGCGGGGCGGGCGGCACAGTTAAGGTTGCATAGGCAATTCTAAATCTGTCATTTCCTAACTTTCAGGTGCTTGATTTTGCAACCTAATAACTAAATGTGATCCAGGGATGCATAAACAGGGAAATCTCAAGTAGCAATAGAGGTTATTTTACCTCTGTATTGGTAGTGGTGTGGATGCTAGTGGAATACTGTGTCCAGTTCTGGCATCCACAATTCAAGAAGGATGTTGATAAATTGGAGAGGGGTCAGAGAAATAACACAAGAATGATTTTAGCTGTCCCCATTCCCTGCCTACAAGCAGGACTCCAGCAATGTCTCCCTGACTCTGCTGCCTGGCTTCATGGAACAGTGCAGTTAGCATGCACTGTACTCCCATTTAACTGCTTTTGTGCAAAGGAAACTGGAGAGAGGGGCATTTGCAGATAGATCCCAGCTGGGCAGAGAGAGAAAACAAAATGTGAGGTGCCTGTCTATAGCAAGATGAGGTATTTGATGATAAAAATTCTGAATTACATGGCCTCTTGGAAAATGCTAGATGTCATGGTTGTGCAATTGCAGATTCCACAGTACCCTGATTGAAATTACTAGGATAGATTGCACGACTTGGAGCTATTACTTCAGGCTCTCTGCAGACTAAGGAATCAATTAGTGAATTGTTTAGTACATCAGTTTAGTCAATTGTTTTCAGTGATCTATCATTAACCATAAGGACAAGAAGCTGATTTTATAAATGAAAGCGGATTCTGAAGCTACTTATTGGAAATCTTTGATGGGGTTGCTCAAACAAAATAAATTCTCTCTTCAGTCTCCTAAATGAGTCTAAACACATACAGTTCAGCACATGAAGAGGGAACACTGTCTTGTGTTGTCATATCCCTCACATATAAGGTTCTAGCCATAACTCACGTTTCTGTTAGTCTCCAGCAGATGGAGGACACATTCTTTTCCTGTAATAATAACCTTGGGGGACAAAGAAGCAGGCCTCAGACACTTATAAGAAGGTGTGGTGATCAGTTGCCACAGCAGCACATGTGAGGCCCTGACAGCTTGAGACCTTCAATCCCATAAGCAGCAGAGGACCCAGTACCTTCCCCTGTGCTCCCAACCTCCTTACCAGGTTTCCAAAATGGCTGAGAAGGAGCAAAGGTCAGGATCATTCTAGCATTACCAGACATTTCTGCCTCAAGTGCAGGGGCAGCTTACACTCCAAAGGGAAAATTAGGGAAGAGTGTCCCCTCAGAAATCCCTTATAGGGAGGAAGCTCTGTGAAGAACTTCCCCTCCTCTTGCCAGGGATTCAGCCCCTCTAGAGTAGGAGGGAATTCTGAAACTACCCAAATGGATTACTACCTCAGAGTCCAGCAGCCTCACTCGAGGTCAGTAGCTCCAGCCCCCAGAATAAAGAGGTGGTTATAGTACAGATCCAGTCTCAGCTCTGCCCCTGCCCTTAGGAAAGGTATTGACACAGGAAAAGAACACAGGGAGAGCAGGAAGACCCTCCTTCATCGATCTAAGCACCATGGTCTGATCTGCACTTTAAGTTCATCTCACCCCACAATCCACCCTCCTCCAGGAGTCAGGAGCAGCTCTGACAACAGAGGGTTCTCCATGGAAAGAATTCATCCTCAGTGAGAGATCAGGAACCCAGAAAAAGTACAGACTGTTCAAGCAGCAGCAGCACTGAGAATGAGTACCCCTGCAGTCCTCCCACCTTGAAGAATGGAGAAGCTGCTTCAGCTCTTCTGGCAGCCCTTGTAGAACGCAGCACTTCAGCCCCCTAAAAATCATGGGGAAGATTCAAGGGCATCTTATTGGATTTAGCTCTGCCTAGAGATCCTTACCAAGCATGATCAGATCTGACCCCTCATCTTCTGTCAAGGCAAGGAAGGGGATTGGTGGCAATAAACCATACGCCTTTCTAGGTTGCCCCTGAAAGCAGAGAGAGATAGTAGATAGTCTGATTTGATACCATGAGCTAATATTTTTATATCATATACTAATTAATATATATAGTCCTTTGTATAAGAACATTATAGAAGCAACAGAGAGACCTGTGGCACCTTTAAGACTAACAGATGTATTGGAGCATAAGCTTTCGTGGGTGAATACCCATTTCGTCAGACGCAAGACGTATTCACCCACTAAAGCTTATGCTCCAATACATCTGTTAGTATTAAAGGTGCCACAGGACTTTCTGTTGCTTTTTACAGATCAAGACTAACACAGCTACCCCTCTGATACTTAACATTATAGAAGTAACATTGGTTTTCTCTTTCAGCATAATTCCCCCTCCAGTGATGATAGTTCAGACTACAGCCTGGATTCTGATATTGAACGTACAGAAAGACCACATAAGAAGGGAGTTGGTTTGTACAGAGATTATGATAGCTCATTCCTTCAGGTATAACTTATAAAACTGATTTTTCATTTCTTCCGTTTATCCACAATTTTTAAATAGTATTGTGCTATTTATAAATCCATATGTTCCTAATCCATGCTCAACAAAGATTTCATTCTGGCAATATATTTAGATCTCATTTCTGTTGGGTAGGTTTCCAGATGTACTACTGTATTACCTTTTTAATGAACCTATACAATTTTAGAATAACTCTGATTTTACAGTTTAACATTTCCTGAGCAATGGTACAGGCAAGTGGGAGTATCTTTTCCGCTATCAGAAAAGAAGGTGCCAATGAGAATTAAATAACTTTAATTTCTGCGCATTTCCAATCCTTTTAGGCATTTTTTTTCAGGGAGTAGTTGTCATCTATCCCTCTATAGTTAATATGGTGGAAATGGGCTGTGCTTCTGTGGATATGGCAGTAGTTCTCTCTAGAAGCTACCAATAAAAATATACAGCTTGCATGCTGTTTGGGGTTTTTTTAGTGTAATTTGTCCTGGCTTTTTCAGTTTAGACCATCAGATATCCCTTTAGAAGCCCATGGAAGAAATTGACTCTGCCTTTCCCCTGAAGGAGGGACAGAGGAGCTGAGGCATTGGATCTCTGACTGAGAAACTGGAGAAGGATAGAAGACTTTCATGAGGACTTGAGTCGCAAAACTTCTTCAAAAAACCTTTTGGATAGCCTAATTTATTTATATCTCTAGTAGTCTAGTCATCAAACTCAAGAGTCTGCCTGCAGACAGTGGAAAAAGAGTGGAGCTGAGCATACTTCATTCTATTTGGCATCACCTTGTCTGATTAACTGAGAGACAGACACACTTACTTGTTTGTATCAATGTCATCATGCTATAGGAAAATGTTAAGAAATCTGATTTTACTTGAATTTTCTAGATTTTACTGTAGACATAATTATTAACAATTTTTTTATTGGAATATCACATTTCTCCTTTTCCATCAGATTCTAAAATACATCAATAATTATTATTTTATTTAGATGTTAGTTTCAGTCACATCAGTAGCTGAAAAAAGTGTGTTTTTTACTTTCTGTAAATCTAATGTTTGTCTGTTGATCAGTACCGGAGACAACCTATCAGTTCTGCCATTCTTCTACTGCTTTAGTAATTACAACTAAAATTCAAAGAAATATTTAAATAACTGTTTCATTTTAATTCACTCTCACAAAAAATCTGTTAATTTATCAGAAAAAGCCATAGCCTTTCTTTTTTTAAATACATTTGATGATCATCTATATGTAACTTACTTTTCAAGTAGATTGATCATAGTAAAAAATTTGATATGCTAGCAAATTTTGTATTTATACAAATAAATTTAAAGTATATTTGAACTAGGTGAAAGGTACATTGCCAAATGAGTTTAGGTACTAAATTTTTGTTTTGTGAACAGCTTTTTTTCAAAACGGAACATCAACAGACATATTTCCATGACTTTTAACTTATTTTTAAAGGAATAACATTCCCCTGACAGTGCGATATTACAAAGGAATTGTGGTAGCAGATCAGACTGACGTCCATTTAGTCCATTATTCAGTCTCAGACAGAGATTTGTATCAGAAGTCCTGAGGAAGGCGTAAAAGCTACATAATGGACAATTATAGTATAATGATCATTTTGTTACTAAATAATTAAATTTTACTTTACAACAATGACGTTTGCTTGTGCAAATTGTGGAAATCATGGAAATAATGAAACGATAGTAAAATAATTGTGTAGAAATAACCATCTTAATAAAGTGAGGGCAAGGGGGAGTTTGGGAGAGTGAGATGTTAAATTGCTTCTAATTGCAACTACCCCTTTCATGCAGCATGGACATTTATCAGGAAACTACATGACTTCCCAGAAGGCACAACATAATAAAAAATTAAAAAATAAGGAATATGATGAATACACTAATTACAGTGATGATAACTTTGGTAACTATAATGAAGAAGAAAAGGAGGAGGATTTTGCTGATCAGTTAAAACAATACAGAAAAGCTAAAGAAACTTCAAATACTGATTTAGGAGCTCCATTTCCTAAAGAACCAGTGAAAAAACAGGGGATGAAAGGAATCCAGAAAGGTACGGTTTGGTTTAATAGCTAATTTAGTTCATTTCAGAAACTTTCAGAATGGGATGGTGTCCTACAAATGGTGAAAAAAAATTAGACAAGGTAGGTTAGGGTAATATCTTTTACAAGCTTGTCTCTCATCAACAGAAGTTGGTCCAATGAAAGATACTACCTCATCTACCTTGTCTCTCTCATATCCTAGGACCAGTCCAGCTACAACAACACTTCAAAATTATAGGTCATACCCAATTTTTCAGTAGTTTCTCTTAGTTTAAGTCCAGTATTTCAGAAGTCGCCTATAAATCTTGCTGGTTTTTGACACCTGAACTGTTTTTATGATGACAGCATTTCTTATCTATAGCTGATAGGATCCATTGTTTTTTGTTTCATCTTCTCTTGGTTTTTTTGTCTTCCTCTTGTTGTCTATGGGTTGCTTTTTCTTGTCTTGCTTCTGCCCTCAGTGCATCTTGCCTCTACTATCCAACTGTCAGAGCTGTACAAACGGTAGGTGGGTGCTGGTAGTTTTTCTACCAGAAGGCATCTATGGTGTGTCATGCTAGTAATTAAATGCAAAGTGCTGACGGTAACTCTCCTCTTCTTATATACAGCTAGCAAACACATATCAGCAATAAAAATTACACAGTCACAGATCAACAAGGAGTCCGGTGGCACCTTAAAGACTAACAGATTTATTTGGGCATAAGCTTTCGTGGGTAAAAAAACTCACTACTTCAGAGGTTTTTTACCTACAAAAGCTTATGCCCAAATAAATCTGTTAGTCTTTAAGGTGCCACCGGACTCCTTGTTGTTTTTATGGATACAGACTAACACGGCTACCCGCTGATACTAGTCACAGATCAGTGCTGCATATCCAGGTTAATGTTCCGTGTTCTGCAGTGAATAGTGTAATTTTTTAAATAAGTTAAATCTTGCCAATTGTTGTCAGTTGTATAAGTATTTGAGTAGTAATATTGCTTCAGAATTATTTTCTATATAATGTACTCTATGAAAGTGTCATACATAGAGCTGGGTGGGAAAAATTATATTTTGAATAAGGCCAGGTTTGTAAAGGTATTTAAGCACCTAAACATGCAGATTGATACCTAACGGGATTTTCAAAAGTGCTTAAGATGCCTAACTTCCATAGGCATCTAAATACATTTAGAAATCTGGTCCTTAGCCATGATCATGCCCCTTTTTGTTCATTTTTTCACAAATTTTCGTATGTTCAAAATTTTGTTGAATGCTCATGGAAAATAAATATTGGAACTATACCTAAAACAACTTACTTGATAAATTAATTATGCATGATATTGATATTATGTAGCATCCACTTAAGAAATTAATCTCGGGGGTTTGTGAGTAAAGGAGAGGAGGGAGTAAGGTAGTTATGGAGAGAGAGGTAGGTGGAGGGGAGAAGATGACTAGCCTGAGAAGATCCATCCCTCACCAGAGGGGCCTCTGTTTCAGAAGGGTTGCAAGGGAAAAGATGGTAATGAAAATAACCTGATTCTAAAGCCTGGGTATCATCTAATTCATAAAATTGTTTTTTCACTGTTGTTGCAATTGTTTCATTGGGGTTTATTTTTAGTTTAAAATAGGTATAAAGTATCTGTCCACAGGCTTTGATTGATCTGTCAGTTATTTAAAATCACAAAATACAAAACCAAAATGCAATGTTGTTGAATATTCTCTATGCAAAGTTTTTTTCAAGTTTCACAAAATTTCAGAAATTGGTAGTAATGGTACCTCCAATATGGTTCCCTTGACTAGCAGGTTATGGGCACTTGAGTCACGTGGTTTTGTTGATGTCATAAACAATTCTTCTTACCCAACTAAATAGGAAATACGGTGGTTAAAGTAAATTAAATGAAGAAAATATTGGATTTACCATTTATCTTACCCAACTGTTCTCTGGGAACATTTCTATTGTATAATTAGGATTGGCAGAATTCAATTTTTATTTTTTATAATTTTGAGAGATAATATTGATGTTTATTTTTAAGTATTTATTTTTATTTTTACCAAATTTAAATGTTCATAGTGGCTGGAAATTGGGAGAGTGTAATTACAGTAGACATTGAGATTCAAAATGTTAAAGTTTTGTCACTGTTCAACACAAATTTTCAACATTATATGTTAAAATATAGAAAGTAAATAGCCTTAAATCAAACTCTTAAGTTCTCAAGCAACATTTTTCTTACTTTGCCAATTTGTAAATTTTAATTATTATCAATGGAAATGTTTTTCCCTTGGTTTTTGTGTGTACAGTGAAATTGACTTTTGACATTTACCAATAAAAATCTAATCCTTCTAAGCCTATTTGTGATTATAGAGATTGCATCATGTGTAGGAGAGAGAGAGCTGTGGGTGCAGAAAATAGTATTTTGTTATGTGCATATGAAGGTAACATCAATATTTCAGTGATTTTTATATGTACTCTTTAAATATTAAGGGTATTTAAAGGGAATTGATATTATACATGGTATGTTAAGGAATTTAGAGCTGAAATGTAGTATCTATATAGTTACTATATCTACTCTTCCTTCTAGTTTCTCATGTCAGTTAAAGAGGAGGCCACGTTAAAGAGCTTTTTGCTTCTGAAGAATAGTCATTTTTCTTTGAGGTATCTGAAATATGTTTTAATATTTTTCAGGTATTGCACAAAGGGGTTTTGGTGTTGGTCGAGGGCGTGGAATTCAGAAGAAGTTGAAGCGTAAAGATCGTGGAAGGGGGAGAGGGGCCAATAAAGGACCTGATGGCTTTCAAGAGGTACATGGAATTGAAGTTACAAACACATACATATATTTGCAAACACCTGGATACTCCTTGTTAACAGAGATGTAAACAGAATTGCCTAATTGTTTTCTACCTATTTTGTTCTGTTCTCCAGAGGTTAAGCTAACTCTTTTCTAAGAAAGGAAGTTCCTAGCCCATCCAGTTGAGAAAATAGTCTTGTTTAGTCCACTCCCAGAAAGACTGAAACAATACTAGCAAGAGAATTATAAACTTCACTTTTTAATGGGATGTTAACTTTGAAGCTTTAATAGCATCTTAATTAATTGAGGATTAATTCAAGTTCTGAGGAATTGGCTTACCTGCTGGCACCAAATCACTGGGGTTTTTTTTAGCCAGCATAATTAGATTGGGAGACTCGATTCAGTTCCTAGCTGCCTACTCCCATTGATCTTCCTCACAAGTTTTTCTCACTTTCATCTAAAATAAAATGTTAGACTGTAGTCAGTGTCGGCTGTTCATCTTTTCAGTTGTCAGGACTCTTACTCTATTCTTTAGACAGCCTAAACTGTGGTTCCTTTTCAAGTGATGGTCCTTATGTATATTCCATGCATACCCACCATACACCTGAGTCTGGAATTTTTTAGTAAGCCGTGTTTATTGGTCTATACGTGCGCTATAGTTCTCCTCATGCTCTGAACTGAGGACATAAGGGATGATGCGGACCAGTGCCTCTGCGGTTTCTTCTTACCAATGCATGGTCTGAGTCAGAATCTTCTGTGTCCTCAGCACCTTCTGCTACTGCGTCATTTCTGTAAATAGATTGAGTTTGGTTTTAGTATTTTTCTTCTTTTTAGACTCTAGTATAGTGTAGTTAGTTAGTTGTTTCCACTTTTTCCCCACCCCAGGGAATTTTTCTCCACGGGGGGCAGTGGAGAAGGTATAGTGTATGATGTGCATGTATATCCCATATGTGGAATACAGATAGGGCTCATGCATCTCAAATATTCTCTAGTTACAGGTAAATAACCACCATTTCTGGCTCTTTCCCACTCCCTGGCTGCAAACTGGATTCTTGCTCAACTGGTTCTACAGGACCCCGTTCAACCTGGTTCTATAGATAGAATAATGAAAGGAGAATGTACCATAATCCAGTTAACTCTCCTTTTGGAGAAGGATGCAAATGAAGAGACAAATACAGACAGGCCCTAGCAGGACAGGAAGAAAAAAGGAGGAGGGAGGCCCATTCTTGATCTACATCAGCTAAATTTCTTTATTTGTAAATCAAAAGGAGAAGGGCACATGGTTCACATCTCTCAACTTGAAAGATGGTTGCTTTCATGTGGACATTCATTTATCCTACAGATGGTTCCTCAGATTTCTGGTAGGACCAGAGTACTACCAGTTCAGAGTACTTCGGTTTGGGCTACTACCAGCACGCAGAGTCTTCAGGAAGGTCCTCTCCATGGCAGTGGCCCAGATGAGATGAAACAGTTATACCATCTTCCCATACCTGGACAATTGGCTCCTAATAGGCAGATCCAACGAGGAGGTCCAGTTGGCTGGAGGCAAACAGTTCTGTATTGGGCCTGATTGATTATTTTCAATCTGGATTGGGAAGTAAAGTCCCAGCCAGAGGAGCATCCTCTCCTGAGAGGAGGGTTCTGAGACTGGCAAAGTGACTGAAGAGGGTGGTGAAGACCCCATCAGCACCATTCTGTTGTCTTCTTTCTGATTTTTTTCCTTAAGAAGAAAATACCAACCACTAAAATTTTACATTAAAATATATAACGGAAGGAGATTTCATATCAGGATTGAGAGTTGGCTTATACTGCTTGGCTAGTAACTGTTAGTATTCTGGCATTCCTGAGGGAACTCCTAGTTGCTGTATTTGGGCCCTAAGCTAGTGACTAATCTAACTGTAACGTTATTGTCTTGAGATCATTGAATATATGAAGTATTAGTTACTGTGTCCCATACAATAGTGGTATATTTTATTTTTTTCTTGTATACATTTGCAAAACTGAGATGTACAAATCTTTATGGTATCTGAAAGAAGATTCTAAATTTGTTGCATTTATAACAGAAAGCTTGCTATTTTCACCCAAGAATTTTACGTTACTTGGTCTTACAGAACAATACTAGAACATCAAGAAAATTTAAAATGCATATTTGGTTTTACTTTGTATTTTGAGATAGAATAGCCTTTCTCTGAACTGCGTACAGTAATCTGAAAACACTCAAGTCATGAATTACTGTCATTTTATTTTGAAATTTTATTCCACTTTGGGGTAACTACTGCTTTGAATGCTGTAATTGTTGTTTTGCAATATATTTAAAATAGTAACTGTAACACATAAACTTAAAATATTTTTATTTCCCTTTTATAGGAAGGCAAACCAGTGAAGAAATGGGTGAATATGAGTCAGGAATTCATAAATCAACATACGGTGGAACATAAAGGAAAACAAATTTGTAAATATTTTCTCGAGGGAAGATGTATTAAGGTAAATATATACTTTATATGCATGTATATATGTCTAGCGGGAGTCGGGGAAAGGGTGGGCATTCTATTTCAATTTAGCTAATATCAGGAAAACTTGTTTTATGTAACTTTGGTTTTTTGCTTTAGTATTTTTTGGCAGGAAGTATAAATAAAATAAATGCAAGAGAAATTTTTGAGGGAAAACTATTAAACTACATATCCTTTCACTGTGCAATGTAAATTATATAAAAATAATATACTATTGATCACTTATTAGCAGTTACAGTATGATAAATACACCTGTGTCCAGCAATATTAGAATCTGAAATTAGTGTAATATGTAATCTGTATTTTTTATATTTAATTTTGGACATATGAAGGGTGATTTAGTGATTCATTTCTGTTTTAAAAATAATCTTTTCTTGGATATTATAGATTTTGAGATATAGTGAAAAACAGTGCTTTAATTATGCACAAAGATACTTCTCTCTCCAGCCTAAGAAAGGGGGAAAATATGCTTTCCCAAACATCCCATAAAGGCAGACCTGAAAAACCTCAGCAGCTAGGTGGGGTTGGGAAGCAGGAAGAAGAGAAATTGAATTAGAATATTAGAGCCAGACATAATCCATGGCATGCTAGCCTGCCATTATGTAGATTCTGGTATTGCATCATTCTGAAACTAATAATACAATGCAGCTTAATTCTCTGGTACCAAAGTTAATCTTTTAATCAATTATAAGATATAATATAAAAATTTGAAATAAATTATGAAAAAATTACATATTTGCTCTTAATTTGATGTGTGTATGTCAAAAATGTTTATTATGTCACTTATTCCTAGTTCCACTGTGAATTTGGAGGTACACAATTATCTGTGTCTTTTCATGATTGTGAACTTTTTTCTTCATTATTTACTTCCAAAGTAAAAATAAAATGTAATTAGGCTCTTTCCAAATTCCTGGTGGAAATATAAGGTAATAGCCATAAAATAGTCTTGAATATTTTCATGGCTTTGTCTGTTATGGTATTTAAATTCCATGGTTCCCAATATGATGAGTATTTAGTGCCACCTACAGTTCATAGAATCATAGAATGTCAGGGTTGGAAGGGACCTCAGGAGGTCATCTAGTCCAACCCCCTGCTCAATGCAGGACCAATCCTCAGACAGATTTTTGCCCCAGATCCCTAAATGGCCCCCTCAAGGATTGAACTCACAACCCTGGATTTAGCAGGCCAATGCTCAAACCTCTGAGCTATCCCTCCCCTTATAAAGTTATAAAACAGTTGTAAGATAACTTACTTTATTTTTTGAAAGTACTTGCAAAAATTGTGTAAAACTTTCCATGGAACTAGTCATAATGTAAAGTAATACAGTTTATATGATTTTTTTGATTGTCTAGATGGGCACCCCTTATATAATAGTTTTTAATACTTTTTCATAGCATAAACCACCTCCCCTTGCATTTGTGATCACATAATTTTCTTGCAACAACTACAGCATTTGCTTAAATTGAAAGATAATATTAGTAAACTATTTAATGTTTCTTCGAGTAGTGTCCCTATGAGTGCACCACTTCAAGTGCACACGCACCTCAAAGTGGAGCACCCATAAGGGGATACATCTCGAAGTACTCCGATTATTGCACAAGGTGAGTAACCTGTCCATTTTTAGCTTCTTTTAATGCAATTTACCAGATGGAATCGAGGAAAAAAACCAGTGCCATGTGACCAGCCTACTCTCCATGGACTACCAGCATATACTCTGTGGACCCTAGTCTGAGAATGTAGTAAAATGTTCTTTATCTCCACTTCTTTTTGGAATCTCAAGAAAATTGACACACTTGTTAAATACATGTATTGTCAATAGAGAGAAAAGTTCAAAACTGGATAAACAGGATGAAAGCATCATTGTTAAAATATGAAGTTGAATAAATTCAGCATTTAGAATTAATAATCTTTGTCTCTCCTTTTCTGTCATATTTACAGGGAGACCAATGGAAATTTGATCATGATGCAGAGATAGAGAAGAAAAAGGAAATCTGCAAGTTTTACATACAGGGTTATTGTACCAAAGGAGAGAACTGCATTTATTTGCATAATATCCTTTGGGAAAAACTATATTTGAATTATAATCCTAGTTAAGGTTTTTATATTTTAGTATAATCTGATTTTTCTTTAGACACTTTATAAACACACTGACTATTTTATTGTGAAATATCATTTGCAGTGTTTGTGCAATTAGTGTATGGTGATATGTGCGTGAAAGAGAGAAGTTTTTCAAATTATAGTTAGGTATTTTCCATGGATTCTTTACAATTTTTCTTTTGAGATTTAACCCGATTATATATATAAAAAATTAAACATTACAGTTAGTTCACAAGCTTTTATCCCATGAATTTGTTTTTATGAAAGCAACATTGACAAGTTAAAATTATAGAGTACTTAATTTTTAAAATCCTTTTTACTATTGGAAGATTAAAATTGAGAACTCTTAGAAATTAGTTTACTTTTTACCACATATTTTGTGTGTCTGGCATCCCATAAAGACATACATTAGGGAGCCTGCAACATCATAGCCACCTCTTGATTCCTTCAGTGGAAATGGTAAACACAGCAGCCAGCTCTCTCTGTGGTAAGAATGAGATATGACAACTTCAAGATCTCCATGTCCTTCCAGTCTGGAGCAGAAGGTGCAGTTAAGTACCATCCTATACCTCCTTAGCACAGGGAGCTGGTGTACATCATTATTTGATCCTATTTCTGAATGAGGGGGCAGGAGAGATTTATGTGAGAGGAGGATAAGAGCTGGATGGGGACAAGGTGGCTTTTCACAACACACACACACAAAACACTTTTTGGAGTTGGAGGGGGGAATGAGTTACTTGCACCTGTGTAAAGTGAGTATAAAATACTCCTCGTTGAATAGCATTGTACACCTACTTTGCTCACATATTGCACAGATGTAAATGACTGCACAAATCAGGTCTGCAGTCTTGAATTATTAAAATAGCAGTTGTGTGATGGATGGTTAACACTGATTCGTATTTTGTATTCACTGGAGTTGTTTTAACTGTGCAAGCGAGTTAATTTTTCCCTGACTAGCAATCAAACTTTTCTATTGAATTTGGATGGTGAGGGTTTTGTGTATGAGAGAGAGAACTGGATGTTATGGTTGCTGACAATTATGTAATCTTACCTTGATTGCTTTAGTGTGTGTGATGTTTTTAGTGATCTAAATAATGGCATGGCTTGTTTTGAAATGCCCTTACCAATCTAAAATAAAGTTAAAGTTTTTGGGGTGGGAATTCAGAGTCAGATTAGCTTGCTTTAATGAATAAATGAATTTTACTGCTCTTTATTCCATTTAGCAACACAACTGAGAGAGAGAAAGCAGGAGTCTCTTCTTTCATTGCTTCCTCAACAGAATTGTTCACTGAATTTTAATCAGCTATGCTTGTGCAAATCCTACTGAAGGCAGCTGGTTGCATGGGTGTCACTAAGGGTATAATTTGTCCTGCAGATCCTTTTCTACTGATGATCCATGACAAGGAAAGATCATAGTTTAACTCTTAAAACCTGGATTAAGTTTGAAAGTCTGGCAGTTTAAAAAAAAGTTTATTTGCAAACTGAATATATTTCAAATTGTATGCGCAAACCTGGAACCTGACAATAACACTTGATCGTTTTTTAGAGCAGAACCACACTTTATAAAGCTGTGAGAGTGAGTGTGTGTGTGTGTGCGTGCGCGTGCACATACATTAAAAGCTTTGTCATCCGGCAGAATGAGAGTCTGTGCCAGTTAATCAAAAATTCCGGTTAAACATACAGTAAAAGCTTTGTTATCTAGTATGATGGAGGAATGGGGTGTGCCGGTTAATCAAAAATTCCAATTAACTAAGAGTTATATTTACCAATGGAATACCAATTTTCAAATAATTAGAATACAGTAAAATGAATAAAATACATTAAATAGCATACAGATACTCACCAATCCAGTAGTAGTACTGCACTGCAGAGTGGTGGGTTTCTTGAAGCACTTAGGTGTATACAGGTGAAGTTTTCTATATAGTAGGTTATCTTATGACACTACATATCACTATGGGTAGCACATGGCATACACCCAAATCACTAAAAATACAGTTAACACTGAAACTAGACTGAACATAATTTAATCTTTCTTTGATCATTCAGAAGGCACTTCAGATCTTGCAGTGCCTCAAGGTCATTATTATCAACATTAATTATCATTGTGGATGTAGACGGTGTAGGAGCTTGGGCTGGATCTGTAACGACCCTATGACACACCCTGGAAGCTGCTTTTTTGAATAAATCCCTGATATCAGCTTGCTTACTTGTCTTCTGCCTCTTTTGCATAAAAATAGAGTGCAGAATGTGCAATTGCATAATCTCCTGGGCAGTATACTAGTCCCGGTTACTAGATTGAAGATTTGTATTGGGAGATATCAGAAATGCCAGTTAATAGAGCTTTCTGGCTGATAAAGTGCCGGATAACACAGCTTTTACTGTATATAAAAAACCGCAAGAGCTGTTGTTTCAACCATTCTCCCCCTCCCCCCCCCCCACTTCAGTGAAGATTCCCTTTTCTTACACATAATCTGTCCCTAAATTTCATTGACCAGTATATGGTTTTTAATACAAATAACAGGTTTTGATTATTGATTGATACTAAAATTGTACAAATTTTTAATTTAAACAGATAAATACCTGGAAATTTAAAGTCCAGGATAAAACTTCATATTTAATCCCTGTCATAAGTAATACATCGTTTAAAGGATGAAATTTCTCTTGCTTCAAGAAGAGACTATATCTAATAATATATAACTTCACTATATTGAGATGCTTACAGTAGGAAAAATTAGATAGTCTAAGGAGGGAACTTCATCTTTTTCTGTAATTATTGGCTTTAGTTTGACAGATTATTAGGTTATTTCATATATTAAAGATTAATAAAGACTTGAAGTTAGACTTTAGTAGGGGATTGGAGGGGTTGTTTGTTTTTGGGGGGAGCAGGTTAAATACATATAATCAGTCTAGCACAGTGTCAAATGGGATTAAACAGTGAATTGCTTATTAGTCTGGTCATTATGCTTAAAATATTATTCTGGACATGATAATTGTTTAGGAGCAGTGAAAGTCTCACTGAAAATTACTTCATAAAGCTGTTCCAAACTATGCAAATTAAATGTTGCTACCTGTTAGAGTCCTTAATATTTTTGCTGCTACATGAATTTCCTTGCAAGTTCTACCATACAGGAGCAAAATGTTACCAAGGGGATAAGTGCAAGTTTTCTCATGCTCCATTAACTAAAGAAACAAAAGAACTGCTAGATAAGGTGAGTAATGCTTATACTGGCACAGTAAGTGAAAATTATTTCTGAGTGGCAAGGTAGTCAAATGGAATAAATATAGGCTGGGATCTTTCAAGGGGTTTAAAGGAGATAGGCACCCATCTCCCAGTGATGTTTAACATCCTAGCTCCCTGAGAAAATCTCAGCCCTGAAGTTTGGCTCTATGACCACATGCTACAAAATGAATTCTCTTTTCCTTCTCTCTTTTTCCCCTTCATTTTTTTCACCTCTCTCCTCTTCCTCCATCCATTATTTTTCTGCTCTACTCTTTCACCCTTCTTTACCACCTCTGACAACCTCCCTATTCTCTCATTTTTAAATGTATACTCATATAGCATGCAATATATGTATTTTAGAACATGTTACTGCTTTCCATCATCTGAAGTTACTGATCAGAGGATATGGACCTCCTAAAAGTGTATGTTCCCATATTGCAGAAATAGTTTAATTCCTGGCTGACCTAGAAGAAATTTTGAGGGGGGATTTAGAATTCTTTTGAGTTCGATATTAAATGGCAGGCAATATATAATAGACATACTAATACAGAGCAGCTTAATTCTTTTAAAATATAAAATGAAGTGCTACAATGAAATGTTAAGTTCAGTGCAAATTTAGTACAATAAAAACTTTCACTGCATTGCTTTGTTTTAGGTTTTGAATACTGAAGAGGAGCCACAAAATGAAGATGAAAAAGAACTGGAGGAACTCAGAAAGCGTGGCATAGTTCCTCTTCCTAAGCCACCTCCAGGAGTTGGACTTCTGCCAACTCCACCTGAGCAATTTTCATTTTCTGAGTCTGATACAGAAAATTTTCAAGATCCTTCTGGTGAATTCAAGAAAATTCCATCTCTGTTTGAGATAGTTGTGAAACCTACTGTGGATTTAGCACACAAGATTGGAAAAAAGTAGGTTTTAGAATGAAAAATGGCTTTATAAACATTTGAGAAATGGACCACACTACATTTTTAGAAGAAATTGATAGTCTTGAGGATTTCCAGAATTTGCTTTCTAACTTGGAGGGGGGGGGGAAGAATTTCCACTATTTGCCATCATAATTATAGTATCTTTTGTTTATCTAATACCCTGTACACAGGATTACTACTCTTGGGTCTTGACCTTCCCAGAAGAAACAGGCAAGGAATTCACTCCCTTCACTCGGTTTTTCCAGTCCTCTGAATGACTATGAACCCACCTTCCTTTGCATGGTGAACAAACCTCCATCTCCCTCTAGTCTCCCTGATAGTCAGCTCTTTCTTGACTTCAGTCAGTGAAGGAACTCCCTGATGAAACTGTGTGCCGGGTCTTCGTTGTTACTATTGCAGCTCTGCCAGATGTCACTGCCTTTACCTGAGCTCTTCTTACCCAGCCACCTCCCATAAAACTTAGACCTAATTGTTAGATACAAAGTTTTATCTGGTCCCGTTGAGTTGGATTTCTTCAAAGCTCTTCGAGTTTAGGTCTTGGTTGGTCTTGGGATGTTTTAAACTGGTAATTTGGCAGGTGAGCAAACTTACACACGCAGTTCTGCCAATACACGTTGCTGTTGACGGCAAAAACTATTCTGCTGCTCCACTCTTGGGCTACTCAGGATTGCCATTTGTGATGGATTTGTGGCACACAATGTGATGTGTTTGTAATGTGGACAGACGTTTACTATAAGAATTAGTTTGCCCCTGCCAACCTCATATCTACTTGGCACCAAAAAGATTTGAACAGATATCCCCAAGGACATTTGGAATCTAAACAGCTTTATTCTAACTCCCCCACTCCTTTTAGGCGAAAGTGTTGTTTGCAGTGTTTTTCTGTCCATGTTGGTCCCAGGATATTAGACATGGTGGGTGAGGTAATATCTTATATCTTTTGTTGGTGAAAGAGACAAGCTTCCAAGCTACACAGAGTTCTTCTTTGGGGAAAAAAATGGAAAGGGAAACCATTACAGTATGGAAAAACTGTAATCATTCCCTGATGGTCTGAAGAACCACTCGACTAAGAAAATACAGTTCCTAGTGCTGTTCACATCCATACATCAGTGATATTCGTGCAGGTTAAAGTAAACAGACGATATCTTACAGTATTAAGTACAGTGTTTACCTCAGACCTTAGTTTCTCCTGTACAGCTGACACATCAGGTAGTCCAGTTCCTCCACCAATCACGGTCACTAGCGAGTTGTGATACTTCGTCTCAGATGATGCTAGCACAGTCAATATCCTTTGTTTACTGTCTTCTTCCTGTTCTTCCTTGGCCTTCCTAGCTTTCTCTTTCCTTCTTCAGGTACTCAATTCAGTGTTTGTTTAGCATGTCTCCCACCCTCCATTCAGTTTACATGTCCCAATCACATGAGCTTGCTTTCTTTGATATTTTCTAACATGTTCTGCTCTGTCAGCTCCCACAATCTTGCATTTGTTATTTTGTCTTTCCCTGAAATACGTAATGTTTTCCTCAGCTATCTCTTATCAGCCTCCTCCAATCTCTTTTTGTTAGCTACTGTCATCAGCCAAGTCTCCGTTCTGTACACTAGCGTGCTTAATACAATTGCATGATATAATCTGACCTTTAGTTTGGTGTGGCGATCTCTGTTGACCAGATGTTCATCCTTCCGAAAGTGATGTTTGCTTTTCCCCATCTCATGTGGATATCTTTATCGCAGCTACCTTCGAGTGTCATGTTCCCCAGAGAGCACAACTCTTCTACCTGTTCAATTTCTTTTCCATCCACGTACACATTTGCATGTGTTGTCCAGTTTCCTACATTTATCATCTTGGTTTTCTTTGATTTACTTTCAATCCAATTTTTGCTGCTTCCTGTTCTTCCTCTGATGTAAAGCCAATCATTCCGTTCCACATCGTACTTAGTAAAGCAGTGACTTGTTTATCATAGGGACAGGGTAAAATGTTGTGGAAGACAGATGTCATTCCAAACTTCTAGAAAGGTATGGCAAGGAGAGGAAAGTGTATTTTTTAAAATGTTGCCTTTTTAAAATATATAAATTATATTTACTGCAATCTGGTTTTGTGTAGCATGTATATGTGCTTGTTCTTTACTTGTCAGTTTTCTATCTACAGGCCACCAACCTTCTATAACAGCACATCACCACCAAGACCACAGTTTCAGGGAAATGACCCACATCCTCAGCATATGTATAATCCAGGGTCAAGTCCAGGGCCTGGTCCCAGCATACCACAAGGACATAATGGACCAGTAATGCACCCAGGTTCTCCTGGGCATCACCAATGTACAGGATCCCAAGGTCCAGCAATGCCACACAGCCCTCCTTTGCAACCTGTTCCACCAGGCTTTTTAGGACCACAGGGTCAAACTGGCATACCAATTCAAGCGCAAGCTGGTCCACCTTTAACACCACCAGGCATTGGTGCACCATACAACACTCCAGGAGTTCAAGGACATATGATGAATATACCCAGAGAGAATCATTGCCCACCAGGCCCACTGTATCAGCAAATTCCTGGTGAACGACAGCAGAATATCAATTATGAATCTATTCAGAACCCAGCTGATTTCTATGACAATTACTATTCACATCAAGCTGTACATAGCTTTCAGCCAACTAATAACACAGGAGGTAAGTTTGTGTTCAAAATTGTTTTTGTTCCTTGGTGAGACATGTTTCTGAAGTATTACTGCACCTCTAGAATAATCAAGAGAAATATTAGAAAAAATAGCCTGTTTGAGATGTATCTTTAAAGAATATTGTGAAACAACCTTCTTTTAAAAAAGAAAAAAGCTATTCTAGAACTTTCAAAAAAGAGAAAAAATCTAGCAGAGAGCCATTCTATAGAGCTGACTGAAGTAAAGACACTAGGACTAGTGTCTTTATTTACAAGAATTTAGCATTTACAAGAATTCTAATGCATCAGGCTAAACAAGCCAGTCAGTTTTCTTCCCTCTGACTCCTTCAGCTCTTTGTTCTGTACTCTCTGTACGCAGTGTAGTTGTAGCTGTGTTGGTCCCAATGGTATCAGAGGGACAAGGAGGGTGAGGTGATTCCTTTTATTGGACCAACTTCTGTTGGTCAGAGAGACAAGGTTTCAAGCTACATAGAGCTTTTCCTCTGGTCAGCTGGAAAGCTTGTCTCACCAACAGAAGTTGGTCCAGTAAAAGATATTACCTTGCATCTTGTCTCTCACCATATAAGTTATTCATACAGGAAAAATGTATAACACATTTTAGAAGTATTACATGCAGATTGTAAATCAAATGTCTAGCTCAGTGATACTCAGACGGTGACTCATGAGCCACAAGTGGCTCTTTAATTTGTCTTCTGCGGCTCTTTGCAGTACATGATATTAAAACACTGATTTAATTATTAACCAATCAAGATGCCTTTACTATGTTATTAACCAACTGTAGTTGATAAAATAATATTTGCTGAATTTTGACTACTCACTACTAACCAATCACCCACATGTAGAATACAGATAGGGACCAGCACTCGAAGAAGAAATGGAGGTTACTTACCTGTAACAGGTTCTCCGAGATGTATTGTCCCTATCTGTATTTCACTGCCTGCCCCCCTTCCCCTCTGCTCCGAATCATGACTAGATGCACAGTAAAAAGGAGGAACTGGAGAGGTGTCAGTCCACATTGCCCCTTACTCCCTTGGTTCAGAACATGAGGAGAACAACTGTGCACGTGCAGGTCAATAGATACTACTTGCTAGAAATCTCTGATTTCGGGTGCATGGTGTGTACCCACAAGTAGAATAAAGACAGGGATCACATGTCTCGAGGAACCTCCTTTTACAAATAAGTAACCTCACTTTCTCTGCTAAGATCAAGGTAGAGTCTAACTTTTAACCTGAAACTAGATGAATCTTTGAGAACTTGTTTATCCTGAACAGCTGGTGGTTGTCCTTGTTCTCCTTCAGACCAAGAAGTCATCTTGCATAAAAACCCTCCTATTTGGAAGATATTCAGGAGCCTCATTTTCATTTGACTAGACACAAGGATCCTAAATACCACTCTCTTAATTTTACTCATAGTCTTAATGCAAACACTGCCTCAGTTAAGATCTGTTTTTTCTGTTTAATGTATTTGAGTGACTGCCTCAGCACCTTGTGGGTCCAATATGGCTGTTTTGTGAAACTTTCAGGTATTGTCTAGTAAAATCTGGCTTCTCACCCTCAATCTTCCTCATTTATCAAGGCAGTAGAGAAGCTCTGTCCACCTCTCAAAATTTATAGAATTTAACGTTACAATTTTTTCTATCATAATGCAAGTATACTCACAAAGAGACATAATTAAAGTTGCAGTGCTAACCTTAATTCTGATGTTTCCTAATTTTTTGAGTGCTCATCTTTGCAATTTTAAAATATTTTTAATGTAACAATTCTCTCTGTTTGTAGATGCAGATATTCCCTTAAAAAAACAGTTCTATTCACATTAGATTTGATAAAACCCTTTCTTACTGGTGTTCTAGCCAAGGGGAGAGTATCATATTATAGGTTTCAGAGTAGCAGCCGTGTTAGTCTGTATCCGCAAAAAGAACAGGAGTACTTGTGGCACCTTAGAGACTAACAAATTTATTAGAGCATAAGCTTTCGTGGACTACAGCCCAGGAAGTGGGCTGTAGTCCACG